CCTAATCCTCACTGTTTCTCAGCCTTTTATGTTTGTTGAATACAAATCAATACAGAACGAATACCATCGACTTTGTAGCTAAACAGAAGCTCTTGATAATTGATTAAATTCACAACTCTTGGGGAAAAGTGCAGGCAAGGACAACTCATCGAAAAAGGAAAGCTTCTGAAATGAGACTGGGAGGTTCACTTGCTGACAATATCCAATGCATAGTGTTAAAGAGTGCAACTGTCTAAATTGAAAGAGTACAAAATTCTCTGTATTTCCAGCAAGCGAGGTGGAACATGACTGTACACCAGGAGCAACACAGAGATTCGCTGTGGGCCACACCAAATAATCCACCAAGGGACATGGCTTCAGCTAGCACTCTGGTACCCAACAGATGTGCCTCCTGTTCCATATGATTGATCACAAAGTTTCTTTGACTTATGGGTCTTAAAACTCCAGTTTGACCAAGCAGAAATAAAAATTAACATTTTTACAATCTGAATTCTGAAAAAGTGAGTAGTCTCAACACAAACTAACATTTCTTGATCCAGTATTTCCAACCTTCATTGGTCGCTTTTTTTAATACACATTTGAACAACATCATCAACTAGCCTAGGCACGTAGCCTGCCTGCCGCAGGCTTCTAAGGAGGGCAGGTTGGTACCACTGAGCAATACACAGTGACTTGATACGCTTCAAGGAACAAAGCTTCTCAGATAACTACTGCTCAGTTCTTTCTCAGTAAGAAAATCCTCATCAATCAGTGCCATCTCTGTCAATGTGTCTGCAAGGAGAAGTTATTTTACTGTTACATTGGGTTTGTCATCAATGCTGGTAACATCTAATGAAAATCTGGACAGCCAAAAAACATTCTTGTAAGCAAGTTGCTCTACCTCCTCAAAAAAGTTATTTATTCATGGAAAACATATGACAAAGCTCTACAGACAGCACTGGCTCCAGGTGCGCCTCTAGGGAATGAAACCAACTAAACTTAAATACCAAGTAGTTTTGAGAAAAGCTGCCCACAATAGAATTGATTAAAATGTCAAGGATGGAATATGATGAAAAATTAAGTCCTTATTAAGAATTGTTTCTGCCTAGCTCTGTGGCAAATATAGCTGGAAATGAGACAGACCTTAGTGCTGTTTTTTCTGGCTCTTCCCACGAAATTAGTTCTACCTTCACAAACTTTTTGAAAACAAGATATCTACAGTCCACCACACAAAGATTTTAAATTCTTGTTAATGATCTGACTGTTTTTCCCCCCCCAGTGAAATCATTTAGAGAAGGATCATCAGCTGACTCAAGTTTAATTGCTAGAAGCCTACAGAACTGCACTGATTTATATTCCAAGAGGTTCAAACTCTCATAGCTTAACTGTCGTACTGCTTGGTTGACAAAGTTAGGAAACAAAAGCCTACTGCAAGTCTTTTGAATTCCAGTCCTGTCTTGCAAAACATACTATTAGTCAGGCTTATTTTTCTGAGATGTACCAGCGCAAGGAAGTTTCATCCGGTATTGTACATTCCTTTCCCAGATTTTTTTAATTCCTACATTCAACAATAATAAGATCTGATAATTTCTTAGGAGAATTTAAGTTCATTTAAAAACCTTCATCCTCAAGCAATGTTCTCTATTATCCATTAAAAGTTAAGACTATTTTTTAGCTGTTGTGGTGTACTAAACATTGAGAAAATAGGCTTAAAAGCAGGCACGAATAAGGGAAAATAATTACCTGCCGGTACAGAGATCTGGGCATATGTGCAGTTCACATACCATCATTTCATTCAAGGCTAAGAAAGTTTTTTCTCCTCATCACAGAGGCAGCCTTGGACTTTTCTGCTCCTAGCTAGCACATGGGAGAGGATTCATTTAAACTAACACAAGTTAAGAAAGGTTTCAGAAAACCTCTTAAAACCACACTCTCCTCCACCACAGAATAGCCCTGGAGTGGTGCTGCTTGCAGATGAGCCTGAAGAACAGGAAGTCATGTGTAAAATCTGTCCACAGCTTAAAGACGATTTTGTTCCTATCCTAGACCACATTCTCATTTAGTAAAGAGAAATCTGATGAGTAGAAAAAAGCACAGCAGGAGCAAGCAGAAATGGAGCCTCACGTGAATGGCTGCAGTGTACCGTGTGACATAAATAAAGGGCAGGCTCCAGAGGAATCAACTGTGTGTAAATTAAGCAACTCTTCACTGACCTGACCAGTCACTGATGGCACGCTATAGTTTCATTCTAAGCAGCAAGGCAGAAAGCAATAAATGTGTAACTAATCTGTTAATATCCCCAAGCACTGTGCACTGAACCCCAGAATAAAGATACCCAGAGAGCTGTGTTTGCATATCCACTCATCCTAGACAGAGAGTGTTTAATTAAATGCTGATCTTTACTTGTAAGTAGTGAGGTGTGAACTGCTCAGTGAGTTACTTGAGATCATGTTGCTACTAATCTCACAACCCAGGGACAGTCAACGCTCAGAGAGGTAGAAGCCACTCATGTGAAAGTCATTAAGGCACCCACAGCTCAGGTCCTCAGAGTGGGAGGCTGCAAAACTGCCCCATCCCCATTGCAACCTTCACAGGCAGTAGCTGACCGTTTTCACACCTGAGCCCCACCCTACACAAAATCTTAGGGTAGCAGCAGAGAATGGAAGAGCAAAGCTCAGATTTTGAGCTAATTTAAGTGGAATAGATCAGTCTGGAGAGTAACAGACATTAAAGCACTGCAGTGACAGGGTCATGCAAGTGACAAGTGCGCTGAGAACCTTCTACCCAAGTATGTTTTCCACAACCTCCATCAAAAACATTTTTGCACCTCTAGCAATCTTACAGAAAGGAGAGAAAATATTCTGTAAAAGGGACTCTCTTCTACCATGAATATCCCCTACTTCTTAAAGGCTGCACAGGAGTTTTAGGAGGGAATTCCCCATCCAGTGGCCCTTCAAAGACAGAGAGGCAGCACTAGGGCTTTCTATTGCTGAGGGCTGGGAGGAAAGCGAGTTACAGTGCCTGGGGCTATTTCCGAGTCTGATGTGCTTTCAAAAGAAAAAAAAAAGAAAAAAAAAAAGGAAAGCAAACAGAAAGAGGTGCATGCCAGAGAAGCAGAATTGCTTGTGCCCACACTGCCAGCCCTGAGTTTTACATTGCCTTTCCCTGCCAGCCTTCACTACTAGGGATGATGAAAATCCAGTGGTGACTGAATAAATCACTCTGTCCCAGGGGACAGTAGAAGCAGGTCTTTGCCCTTACAGCCCACCTAGCCTCGCCACAGGTTCCCTGCTCAACGACTGCAGACAAGGCCATTTTAATCATTGCATTGTTCACAAACGCCTTTCTGAAACAGCAACTCTCTTCCAGTTTGGACTAGTTCAGCCTCCTCACTACGATACAATCGATTAGACAGCTAAAAATCCAGCTATGAGCATTTTGCATTATCTCAGACAACTGAGGATGTGCTTCATTACACAAAAAGAGCTTCTCAATTTGAAACTGAAGTGATGGCAACAAGAAATTCTTTGTAAAAAAACCTCGAAGTGGCTTATAAAAACATCCCACAGGTCGGAAGAATTGCCTGATCACAGTTACTGCCTTCTTCATGATACAAGCATTGAATCACTCTCCTATTCCACCTTTAAAATCCAAAACTAGCAAGTATAAAGCTCAAGCAGCTCCTCTCTAGTTCTCTCTGGGGCCCTTGATGTCACTGCTTCCATTCTGAAGGGGTCATGTTAATGCCGCTCTTACATGATGATTTCAGCACCTGTCCCCAAAGACTCCTTTTTACAGCGATTGAACTATGTGAAAGAAATTTCATCCACTTAAATTTAGATTCTTCTTTCTCCTTTATAAATCAAAAAGGCAAGAAGAATCCTACAAACCTGCACTCAGAACAAGCAGTCTTTAGGAAATTACACCTCACACTAACTTCATGCTTAGTAGGTATGACAGCACACTACATCTCAGCAGTTTTGTTTAAAGTTGTTGTCATCAAGGCCAGAGACAAAAGCCTTCCCTCTCAGAGCAAGAAACACCTACTGCAAGATGCAAGTTTGCATCCCTTCTCTAAACACTGCAACCCAGAATTCCACTCAAGATACGCAGGCAACTGCTGAATAGTGAAAGCCACTATTGTTCTACCCACTACTGGGGAAAAAAAAAAAAAAAAAATCAGCATAAATTAGCCATAGACTGCAAGTTTACTCCAACGCAGAGATGAAAAGAAGTTCTGGATCATCTCCAAATAATGAGGTTATAGCCCAAACTTTACACTGCCTTCAACTGAGTGTCATCCCCCAGAGCAGCTGGGCATGTGTGACTGACATTTAATCAGTTTCTGTGGTTTCTCAAAATCAGGGAAGAGTTAATCTTCCATTGTTAAAAACATCACTACATTCACGCACACATTCATCCAGCATGTCCACAACAGCTGAACAATTATGTAAAAGACTGCCTTTGAAGACAAACTATCTGGACATGCTTTCAACTCGCCAACATCAGACACACAAAAATCACGCCAGCTCATATGATGTTAAAGCCTTCTGGGGGGTAAAACCAGGGGTGGTGTCATTAAAAAGCAAGCCCAAATTAACCACACCTACACAGAGACACCTAACTAATAGATGACAATAATTTAGCAAAAGTGTTTACAGGTGTCGATCTAATGCCATGAAGACAACACTAACTGCCAGATAATCTCACATACACAGTGCTCTCTAAAGGATTGCAACCCCCTAATCAATGTGATTTGATGTACTTGATGGCAACTCCTTTTAGATCATGGATTTTGAATTTTTTTTTTTTTTTCTGGAGTGTGCTCTGTACCTTGCAACCCTACTATAAATAGAGCTGCTCTCTTACTTCACTAGGTTACAGACACATTTTTCCATCCTCCAGCAGGCTACATGCAGGCAAATTTACCTGGACAGATGACTCATTAGGTCAAGGAGATGAGTTATACAGGCAATGGCAACACTCTTCTGCTATGAGTCAGGAAGAAGAAAATGCTTTACCGTATGGTCTGTAAGAGGAGGCAGCACAATCAGCTTCTCCATGGTATTCATTACCACCCTCCAGAGCTCTTTCAGCACCCGTTTCAACACTGTCTTTTCACACACAGTCGCAAACAGTGTCAGGCTGCAGGGAGAGAGCAAGAACTGAATAAGTTCAAAGAATGCAATTTGCAAGGAAAAAGGAGATGTGTATGGAAGAATCAGTGACCCATCCAAAGCAGTTGTCATAACAATTGCTTTTAGGGTAAAAATCTTCCCTTTTCAAAAAGTACAGCCTGTCTTGGAGTTCTATCACTGAAGACATTTGGCCAAAATGGATTATTGACATTTCTGATCTTAATCATTTCTATTAATTGACCTGGGGATTACAGAAGATCACTACGTTAAGGTGGTTGGGAATAGTCCAAATAAGCAGGTACCATTGAACTGGTTCCCTTTAAGAAGATACTTCCTGATGTATCAAGTTGACAGAGTATATAGGAAAAAAATTACAAACAAATACAGAATAACAGGTTTTAAAGTTCAAGGGGTTATTATAATTTTTGTTGAATACCTAAATTAATACTTCCCAGACTGTTAGGCAGAAGTTCCTGCACAGCTTCTAATAGCTGCTGAAGTCTCTAAATCTTCCACCTCTACAACCACCTCAAAGCATTTCTTGGACTCTGTATTTTGTTGCAACTGCATTCACCACCAACTACCTGCCACTGTTTATCCACTTTTACATAAAGTTCTGCTTCATCTCCTTAGTTATTCCTCCTTTATTATTGTATAGGCTATCAAAAAGGTCAAGAAAAGTTAGATTCTCCTTTTAAATGGTTGTCGGACTTTGGCGTTTACTGATCACAATGGGAGAGCTACAAAACAACCAGTTATCAGTGCACATGCAATAGCTGAATTCTACATTGCGTAACATTTTCTCCCAGATTCCCTTTCTTCCCATAGCTGGTTAGACAGTAAATGAACAAAACTGAACAGGAACAAGACTCTCCTCCTATAAAGGAGGAAAGAAAATAATCCAGGCTCAGATGATAATGATTAAAACGATTTGCTCCAGACCTGGACAAAAAGCCCATAGCATACTAAGTTCCCAGTGATACTAAGGAAGGTGGCTTCTCAGGATTCATGACGGCATGCATGGAAAATGCTCAAATGAGAACGCTCCCAGATGTACTAACTGCTGCAGAGAGTCACGTACTACACAGTGACCCAAAAGATGGGACAATCAATACAAACAGCAACAAAATAAACTGTATTTTAAACTTGAAAAGCTTCATATCTCTCACAACATTTATTATGAAAATTGCTGGCCATTCCTTTCAAAATAAAGCACTGCTGTGCATCAGCAAGAAGTTTAACTTCTGCAATAATTAAAAACTGGGGCTTTTTGTAGTTCAAGGCTTAGCCGATGAGAATTACATGCAGTTAGCCACAAAAAGTCCCTGTACAGCTGAATCATGCTGCATGGTTTTAATGGCAACAGATAATTAAAGTGATGGATCAAGCTTATGTACATGACATAGTTCAGAAGCTTATTTTCTAGTCAGAACAGCACCAGGTACGACTAGAACACAGACGATTAACACAATTGGGACACTGAGTAGTATATGTATCAAGTATGGTTTGCAGTATGTTAGCTAATTGGCTACAGTACAACTTGTATAGCAAAAAACCCGTAGCTAGTAAATTAAGAATTTCAGTTTTTCCCACTACCTGATCAGCAGTGTGTTTTTCTGACTGCTATGATGGCCAGAGGGAGAAAGGGAACTGAGAGTGTGCTCTGGCACTGAATGAAGGCTGAAGAGGTGATGCACGGCTTGAAAGAGGGGCAGATACGGGGAAGAAAAGCCATTAATTCTTCCTGAAAATTTGGAGACTGGACATCTCAAGAATAATCCAAGAACATGGAGCTGATTTTCCTTCCCCTATCCTGTTCCAAATCCAATGCACTGTATGTGTAACAGATTTGAACACTCCCTTACTTTCCATCCAGGAAATCCATCAATGGCCTCAGGACATTATCGGCATCTTGTGCAACTGTGTTTCTGGCATTAGCAGCAACGTTTCCTGTCCCTTTCACTTGACAGAGGATATCAGACATTTGCTTGACGCACTCATCAATACGAGTCTGAAAGCTGAACAGATAGAAAAGAGGCAAAACCAACATTATCAGTGGCAGAGATCTCAGCTCTAGTACATAAGGCAAAATACTGCAAGTCCATAAACCATGCACTCAGTCACATACTTTTCCTTCCTGAGATTTGCTGCTTATTTCCTTACTGCATTTGTTACCAAGGGGCGTGCTATCCAGTTCCTTATTCCCATCATCCGCAGACAGCTTACTGCCTCTGAACACAAGGCACAATCACATTTGAGAGGACTTTGTTCATTCAGCTTGCAAAAAGAAATGATCCCTTCCTGATGTCAAGAAACACTGTTATTCTCAGCTCGAAGCACCCAGCTGTATCTTTGCTTTCTACGTGGGGTGTTACACTACAGAGACTGGGATATCGTATGGAGCAATGGCACAACGCATGCACAACTCTGAGCACCCAGGAGTCCATCGGCAGTAATCCGGTAAAGACCCACCACAGGTTAAGTCTTCAAAATAATACAGACAGCCTGAAGGCAGGAAATGGCTGAAGTCAGTCCACTGCCACACACTCCATACTTATCAAAGTGTCAAAATGGGATGTGGGGCTCAGCAGCTCAATGAACAGTGTCACTGTAATGAAGTGACATGCAAGGCATTAAAGCACAGCTGCTTTTCCATCTCTTACTGCTAAGAGGAGGTTAAAAATTAAATAATACAATGGTTAAAATGATTAATAGATCAGCAGAGCTGTCAACATATCAATTCAGCGAACAAAGGAAAATACTTTGACATTTAAAAGAACACTTACTAACAGCAGGCATTACAAGTGACATTTAGCTATCCACTAACAGCACAGAGGTTTGAAATCAGGAAAAGAAGCTAGTGCTAGGAGCTAAGATTTAAGAACAGGTACACAAATTTGGAAGACAGCTTTGTATCTGCATAAGTGGCTTGAACTTCTGCTGTGTGAGCCACCTAGGACATCTGTGGGTTGGGTGCTAACATACAACACCTCTACCCTGTGGCTCTCACCTTCCTTCTCTGCCCCATTACCTCTTACCTCTCCTGCACTGCCATCTCTGGCCTCATGATCCGTCTTGCTCACTTCTAGCCTGCCTCTCACTGGAGCAGTTCCAGAGCTGTCTCTCCATGCAGCCTCCACTTCCACTTTCCCCATTTCTAGCAGTGAGTGGCTTGTGGCAGTCAGTTGTGGCTACAATGTCAGCTTACCCAGAGACATAATAGAATAGTACCACGAATTTCCTGTACTGCTGACAGTCCCTCTTTTGTTACAGGCTAATCTGACCCACAGCTCTCCCAGATACTGCATCAATTGCAGGACCGGGCTTCAAGATGCTGTAAACCCCCAGCCAGTGGATGAAAAAATAACAGAATCCCTTAGAAGATAAAAATTAGTACGAGGCAAAATTGTCACCAACTATGAAAAGTGATGAATCAGTTACTAGTGACAACAGGTTCACCTGAAAGTGAAGCTCGTGTAGATGTACAGCTTAACAAGAGCCCTTGGCAGCAGCGAGTTAAAAGACAACCTCACCTATGCTGTCAGACAGGGCCTTCTGCTCCCTGATTCCTGTAGGAATTCCCTCCTTCACTCCTACAGCCTCCAAGAACAAAACACCAGCTAGCCTTGCATGAAGGCTCCTTTTTTGCTATGATATCCTTCAAAGCAGAAAATGTTAGTGTCCAGACAATTCTCTCAGCACAAAGGTGGTGAGGCTCTCCGGATGTGCGCTGCTTTCCCAGCAGGTGCAATTATCTTACACAGATGAAGAAAAGTTAAGATCTGCAGTGTCAGGCGTGCACAGTGTTGTAGAAGCCCCAGACTCTGCACAGAATACTGTGGATATCTGTCTTACCTCCCACATTTACATCCTTTAGAAGATCCTGCTTACACAGTAAACTGCAGCTCTGCTTTTCATTCTCTATTACTGTTAAGGAATCAGCGAAGCATCTGAGCCATCTGACTGGCTAAATCTCTTGCTGGCATATCTCTGAAACGCTCCCTGGTATGTATGCTGATACTGAATAATCTCTTTAAATCATATTTGCAAATGTCAAGATTGTACCCTAATCATACTTGTAGCAGTGACACCACAGAGACATGTTTCAGATAATAAAATTCAGCCTCTAATTATGATTTCTCACTCATTCTCCATCTAATTAAGAACCTTATTGATTCAATTCAATTACAGTTTGGATCTCTCCATCTCTTGCTATAGCATCCATTACTGGCAATGGGAACTCCTCACTTATCTCCCCACTTAGCTCTGTGTACTGAAATCCAAACAATTGCTGACAAATCCCACTGTGATTTTTTTGGTCGTAAGTACTGCAAATCTGTAGATGGCCAAGTTAGTACAATTTGCTTTATTCTCCTTGCCCCTGTTTCATCTATACCACAGTTCATGCCTGTATTAATCTTGTTACAAAGCATAAAACATGAAATGAATGGGGTTTATCATGAGAAGTGGTTAGTTTTGAAGATCAGTTGGGAGCCCTGTATTTCTAGATTTTGCTTAATTGGCATCTTTTCTGTTTCACTACAAAATTATTATGAAGTCAAGCACGTTTTTATCCTCAGGTAAAAGGTAACATGATTTGCAATAAAACTTAATTGCCACCAACTACTCTGGTAATACTTTAAAGAGACCCTCCCCTACAAACATTAGGATACACCATTCACTGCAACATTAGAACAAGTCAATCTCAAATTCTAAACCTGTTTCCTTCCTCCTCCAATATTCATTTAACAATCAGAAATCAGTCAGCTGTTTCATACATTTAGAGCAGAATGTTTAAACAAGAATGTTGCTTCACAAATGCTAAGCTGGAAACTGCTTTCAGAGCAATAAAGGAGCAGCTGATTCTGTTTCTGACAAGCACTACTTAGAGAAAAAAATCACTATGTAATTCAAATACATTTCACAGTTGAGAGATCTTCGTGTTACATTTCTAAGCAGAGCAATATAGAAAAGAGAGACTTTAAAAACATTTCTCGCTTCTTTGGATAGTTTCAGTATTTGAAAGACCACGAATTTACAACAAAAACAAAAATATAATGCAGCTGACATGAGTTTCTTTTATCTTCTTAACCTGACTGAATGAGATTAGACAAAAGAAAGGAATGCTTCAAGGACAGAGACTTTGTTATACTCACCTGTTACCAAACATGGCACTCAGCTCATCTAAAACGTTGTTCAGCTTCACCTGGAGCTCTTTGAGATGGTCACTTGCTTCTGCATCCAACTGCGGATGAAAGAAGAGCACTTAGCTTGAACCCAGAGGGCAGTCTGCTGTCCTTCACAGTGCTCTTCACTGTTGAGGCTACTCTTAATAAGCAGGTGGACTACCACCACTGGACTCTGCCAGCTAGGATGCTCTCCTCCACCTCCTGCTGCTGTTAACAGAAGCTGGGAAATCATCAACTGACGTTTGCCTAAATAGCAGCAAGTGGTTTCCCCAGGCTCCAATACCCTTTGATACCCTTCTTGATACTTGTGAAGTTGAGAAAGAAAATGAATGTGAACTCCCTGTGGGCAACAAAGTAAACAGGCTGAGAAATTGTCAAGCGCTGCACATTACCTTAGACTCACGGGTGATTTCACCCCTGTAAGTCTAGGAGGAGACCAGGTTTTTCAGACCAGATGTTATTTATTTTTGCATTTCTCCACGCATGGTCTTGAAAGATGCTATTTCACCTTCCACCCTACTATCAAGTGTTCAATACCCAGCCACTCCTCTCAGAAGTCTGGACCCCAGCTATTTTGAAAATCTGGCCACAGTATCACAGCAGGAACTGCTGTGCACTTTCAGAAAGCATAATCTCAGCTATGGGTATTGAGCCCAAGTAGCTCTGCTCTCACATGGAGGCAGACAGCTTTTTGTATACAACTGTTAGAGGAGACTTCACAAAACAAACAAAAAACAACCAGCGCCCCAAGCATTACACGGACACTGCCGACACCTTGACACATGCTGTAAGAAAGTGCTGGCTCCATTATCATCAGCCTAAAGCCACCTGCTTTTACATTCATTCAACAGTGCCCTGTACTCCAGCTGGAGTCATTCCTTCCCTCTCGAAAGAGCCACTCCTGAGCAACCTACCTGTGCGTATATGTAACAACACCTGTTAAATGCTCTGGGATCATTTGCTCTGAAAAAGTAACTTGTAAAACAGATTTGCCTTTGTATGCAGGCAGGCAAGCTGCTTGTATAACAAAAACCTTCCAGAAATGTTTGCATTTGGCATTCAGAGCTTCAGCCCTTACCTCTAAGGCACAGCACCTACTTACAAATGTAATGAGCCAGACGCCAGTACAGAGGTTAAAATCAGTTTAGATGTTTACAGCATATCCAAGCATGCAGCTATACAGGATTTGAACATGACAGGAGTTCCCACTTCTATATTCAGTGCTGAAGCCCTCTTGATATTCTTCAGCATCTACCAGAGAAAGCCAAGCCCTAGGGGATTTGGAATCTGACCTGTTCATTTTCCTGTTGTATGTTGGCATGGCAAACTGACTCTATTAGGCACTTGAACCCGTGCTAATGAGACTCCTGGATCAGAATCTTAAAAATAATTAAAAAAAAAACACAAGCAAATTATAATTACTTAAGCCTCATACCTTTAGGCATTGCTACCTCTGACTATTTTTCCTTTGTTAAAGTGAATTTGTATTCCTATTACCTTCACAGCTCCCTGGCTCTATGAAGGCAGAAGGAAGCTAACGTCATGCCAATCCACAGTCATTCTAGCCAAGCTTCTAGGTAACAAAACAAAAACAGCATCTGCTGGTGGTGGGCTGTCTTACCCCTACATTAATCCTTCCCTTCTACTCTGTAAAGGGCCATGAGTCACAAGCTGCCTGGTTTGCTATCTACAATTAATGGCACAGAAGAGTCCTCTGATTTTGGACATTTCTGGTAGATTAGAGGCAGGACCAGTTCATGATTCATTAAAACACTTCAAGCAACTGCTTTTCCAGTTTAAAAAAAAAAAAAGCTAGGAGAATTTGGCACAAGACACCTATCCCTCACTATTTATGTCTACTTCTTTATAAGCTACCAGATGCATGGTCAGGATCAACAACTTGTTGCCCTGGTTCATGAACCATGCAATTAATGCCTTGTTTCACTGTCAGGTGACACGGAGAGCTCACCAACTACCTCTAAGCTTCTCCTTGCTATTGTACTTGTTGACTGCAAACTGATGTTCCTGGGAGCAGAAGAACGGCTGATTGCTAGTCCTGTACTGCAAGAAGAGACAGCTGGAACAATGCTTCACTAAGGGGATGAGCTCCATTATCTGTGGCAAGGAACTCTCTCTCATCCAGAACATCAGCTCACAGTTTTCTGGGTGCAACTGGCAAGACAGCTGGCCAGATTTAACTTTGTGCTGCCCAGCCTCTCACTCAGGAAGCCAAACCCTGATAGTAAGCATTCTGGTTCAGCACCCACCAAGTCCTCTGTCATCCTAGAAAGGCTGTTGCCTTCTAAGCAACTGCTACTACAGAAGGAGAAGTCCACATAATACATTACTGATCATTAATTCTTAGGTATTGGCATGCTTTGGCTTGAAGGCAAGTGTCAGGGAACTACCTGAGTGTGATTTAGGGCCGTTAGGAAGATACTGGTGTTTACTATTTCACATATATAAATTATACATCAGTTATAGAGTGCCTGTAGCATGTGGTATAACTGCAAACTATTCTTTGCCAATATGGTGAAGCACTGATAACAGCACTCAAATGAAAGAGCGTATGTTTTGCTGTTGTTGCTCAGCCAATGAATTCTAAGCACATCAGCTACCATTGATAGCAGGAAATGCTACTTCGACTGCATGATAAATCTGGCTGGTAAAGAAGAAAGCACATTAGGCAGTTGGGTCACTGCCACGTGTCACGTCCAGACCATTTCTGTCGGAAGCTGGAGCTCAGCAGGCTTATGATCTCCACTCTGTAGGTGTATCAGAGATGACTCAGAGGAAGAAAGCTAATGAAAAGTTCTCCATGCAAAGCATCGGAAAGTATCCACAGCAAGGTGGCTTCTGATCTCTGAGCAAGTGCTCCAGTTCCAGTGGAAATAACGGCTGTCGCGGCCATAGTTCTGTGGCTGAGACTAAATACACAGTACAGAAAACTGAGGTGCACACTGAGGGAAGAGGTAACCCTGTATTTACATTTCAGGGAAGAAAGCAGGGCCCTGTTAATTTCCTGCAAAGGTCTGGGACTTGACACTTCAGAGAATCCAGACCTTGAAGACTCATCCAAGCACATCCAGGACTGGAACCTCACATTCTCTGCTAATCTGAATGGTGGCATTTAAAGCATAGTGCTATGAACTCCAGTTTAGGTTGATCTTCTCCTGCTTCTATCATGGATGAAATGGAACCCATGAGTCTAAGAATTTGCTGCGATGGGCTTCCAAGTTTTCCCAGAGATGTCAGTTCTTATTTGGTTTCTACACATGCTGGTGAAGTGTGAGTGACCAGAACTGGAAGGCTCCTCCATAGCTGGAGAAACATAGCTCTTGCCTTGTGGAAGGTTGAAGATGTTAATCAATCCTTATCTTAATGCCAGAGAACCTGTGAAATCAGAACCTGACATACCAGCAGCTAGAGAATTTTGCCTTGCTATCCTACTGTAGCTTTTTGCAGGTTACAGAGTTCCTCTGGCTCCAGCTTGAAGTTGCTGATTTTTGTTCTGCCACCCTCCACTAGCCCCTGGGAGCTCTCCTCTTCAGAGCTCGCTCACTGAGATCCAACCTCCCTTTAGGGACTCACTTGCACTGAATTGTCATGCATCTCCCACTTTCCTATAGGATTCAATTCAAGGGTAAGGAAGCTGCAGCACTGAATCCAAACAACAGCTGCCAGCTTCTCAAATTCTAGGGTAGCCTTAGCTATGGCATGTGGCATGCTAGAGAGAAGCAATGAGCAGATACCACAAATTCTTTGAGAATGTTCCTATCAAGTCTTCTCTATTTCTAAGCTGTCCCGCAATTTGTTATTCAGGTGGCTAACTTAGGATTTAAAATGCGGGCTAATGCTGTCTGAGCAGTAAGAGGAGTTTCCTGAAGCATTAATTGTACCTATTAGCTTGAAACTGAAGGCATGAAGATTGTATGATGACAATCTGCTGCTACTCAACAGCTAATTCTTTGGGTTCCCTAGGCACTGCTTTTCTCTGATGCTCACCTCACATAATGGACTTTGGAAGAAAAAAAGCGCAGAAATATTTTATACTAGGCTTCCACAGCACCTAGACTGCAGCAGTGGGCAACGTAGTATAGCACCTTTTAATTTCAGTGCCATGAGTTTGTAGCTTACAAAAAGCTAAGCAAAATAATGGACAGCGGAAAGCCATCTCTCTCAAGCAAAACGAGAATGTCTTATTCTGGTGCAAGGGGCAGCACACAGAGCAAGCTGAAGTCTGCAGGAAAACTGCAGAGGTGGGTAGAAAATGCAGGTCACATTAGGTTTTATTAGATAATGTATGAATAATTAAATAAATGGGGCCAAGTTCAGGCAAAAACTAGCAATGAATCTATACAGCCCACTTTAGCACAAAGCTTAATTACAATCTCCATTTTGTGGGTGTATTGGAGATGGTTCAGAAGAATCAAAGGTTTCAAAAGGTATTCACATACATGACTTCTGCCCAGGACTCAACCCCCGATTCCACTGTTCATTATGCTTTTAATGCTACCTGCCACTCTATAAACGCTGCCTTTCCAAAACATGCTTCAGGAATGTCTGAGAATGCTACTGAGCCACAGTGAAGCTGTTTTGATCCTGTAAGATGAACACAGCTCAGATGGGAAATAAAAGTATTAATTATAAATCCTAAAAATCATTTAGACAGAATCATAGAATCATTAAGTTGGAATAGACCTCTAAGATCATCAAGTCCAACTGCCCACCCAACACCACCATGCCAACTAAACCATATCCTGAAGGGCCACATCAACACGTTTTTTGAACACCTCCAGGGATAGTGACTCCACCACTTCCCTGGGAGCCTGTTCCAGTGTTTCACCACTCTTTCAGTAAAGAAATTTTTCCTGATGTCCAATCTAAACCTCCCCTGGTGCAACTTGAGGCCCTTTGCTCTTGCCATATCACTAGTTACTTGGGAGAAGAGACCAGC